AAATCGCAAATTTTAATTAGATTGGATTGATTTTCGGATTGGTTGATGAAAACCGATCCAATCCAAACTAATACAATATATTAATTCATTTCTACCTACTTGGGTCTTTCCCCAATCATAACCCAAAAATTTCTAAACTCAAGACTCATTAACCCATGAACTAAACCCAAGAAAAAATTTAATCACATCTTATTACTAAAATTTCATATGTGTAGAGCTTTATATCTCATTGCCCAAAAAAGAAAAACTAAATTATCGTTTACTGATGCTTTTGTATTTCAATTTTTTTACAAAGCCAATATATATAAAAGATGTTATTTGCACAATAATCATGAAACAAATTTTAGGATTTTCAAAAAATCGAAAACCGATTTAATCCAAACTGAAAAAAATTGGATATAATTGGATCGGATTTGAAAAAAAAAATCCAAACCGAATGGATGATTACATGATCAAACCGAAGGAATTGGATCGGATGATTTTTGTTTCCAAAATCGATCTAATCCAGACCGTGAACACCCCTAATGAAGTATATAATGAGTGCTTGTTTCAACATTTTACTTTCATTTACCGCATAAATAAATAATAAGTGCATAATGTTGGTGAAATAATACAAATAAGGAAAATGAGAGAAAAAAACAGGAGTTTATTAATTTCTATCATTTAAGCATTATAAATCAATAAAAAATGAAAGTGACTCTCCTTTGTTGAATCCACAACGAAACTTTAAAGTCATTTCAAACGTATTAACGTGCATTTTAAATTTTGAATTTATGAGGCACCAAAAAAATAATGAATTTATTCAATCAATCAATTAAAAATGACATATTTTCATTTTAATAATCACTTACAAGTTATAACACTTTTTTTTAAAAAAGTAGGACTTTCTTTTTTGTTCTTAAACAATCTATTCTTATAATAATACCCTCAAATTTAATACCTAAGGTAGTGTTTGGTTGGAGAGAAGTAAGAATTTTCCTAACCAAGTGCAGGTGGGAATGTGAAACTCCATGTTTGGTAGAAGCATTTTGGTTGTTTTTGACGTCAATCAGCTTTGTCTAGCATTTGAGAAAACTGGATAAAAGCACTATTTGGAAGTCCTCTGAGAATGTGGTATTTGCTGTGGAAAGCGGATAACTTGAAAAAGGTGATCATATTGAAGACAACTTTACCCCTCTTCCACTGGTCAATGACCTGATCCTCATTGGTGATCTCTTCTAGCATTTATGGTGTTCGACCTTTTGTTCCTTTTTTAAGGAGTCTCCCTAGCAGATATGCAAACAGAGGGGAGACCTTTATTGTGTTGATTCCAGCTTGTTTGTTTTCTTCTTTCATGGATGTAGACTTTAGTTTCGATCCGAATCAAAATCAGCATAGAGCACCAAGCAAGAGCCTCAATGATCAGTGAAATTATTTGTCAATAGATCATATAACAACTTTAATTCTCAGAGTCAACATCTGACAAAAAAGGACTACAGAAGAAATAAAAGGTATTGTATGAAAAAATGACAATGCAAACAGGTTGAATTTTTTCAGGACTAACCAGAAGAAATAAACAGGTTGAAAAAATACAGGGTTATTTCTTTTGGGATTTTTTTTGTAATTTTATTAAATTTTTCCATCAATATTTTATCTTCAACCAAATACACATTCAGTAATTTAACTCAATTTTTCTGATAAAATTTTGTCCAACCAAACAACATTTTTTAAACTTTCCCATATAACTCACTTTCCTCGCAGATCTCCAGTAATTACATTTCCCTAGTAAAACAAAATTTCTCTCCAACCAAACACTACCTAAAAGACCGCTACGATTAAGAAGCTTGAATCTTAAAAACATGGAAGTCTAACTTTCATGTTTTAGTGTTTTTATAAGGGAAATGTTACTATATGTAGCCGATTTGTTAATTCACATATGCTATTTAAAGTGCAGATTAATTAAATTTTAAAGCAGAAGACTTAATTTTTAATTGCGTTATTTTTCTATATAAATAAATTTCTAAATAAACTTAAACTGTACAGACTCATACCTGTACATAATTCTTACCTTTTTATTCGGTGACCATAATTAACAGTCAAAATCTATCCGACTATGATAATTAGTACCATCTTGGATAGAATCTAACGGATAACATAACAGCTATAATTGGATTAATCCAGGGATTGAATCCCTCTAACTTAACTTGTTCCTGAAATACAAAAAAGTCCAACCAATATATATGTCCTGAATATGGCTCCGTGCCAATACAGTTATCAACTACTTGACTTGACCATATACACACAATCCTGTCATAGTTACATAACTATACATCGACAACACGTGCCTCTCAAAATGATTATCAACTGTATATATGCATGATCATGTACGTCATGCACTACAAAACATTCATTGCACTAGTCTGTTGCCCTGTAAGGGCTCTCCTGCTACTGATGTATCTGTAATTTAAATTATAGCCCAACAACGGGGTGAGAAATGAATCCCAGTAAACTCTATGGAGCAATCTCCACCCACGAGTTTACTTTCTGCATGAAAGGTCAGATATAAAGCATATAATACAATATGTAATATTGTCAACATAAATATAACTAAATTATTAAGGACACATTTGTACTTCCCACCTGATATTATTACGGAAGCATTTGTACTTCCCTCCTCATGTTATTATTACGAAAGATTTCGTACTTCCCTCTTGATAACTTGATACGATAAAATTCAACCACATCACAACATGTAATGAAAGGTCAGATATAAAGCACATAATACAATATGTAATATTGTCAAGATAAATATAACTAAATTATTAAGGAAATATTTGTACTTCCCACCTGATATTATTACGGAAGCATTTGTACTTCCCACTTGATATTATTACGGAAGCATTTGTACTCCCCTACTCATATTATTACTGAAGCATTTGTATTTCCCTCTTGATATTATTATTACGAAAGATTTCGTACTTCCCTCTTGATAACTTGATACGATACAATTCAATCACATCACAACATCTTGTCTATTTGTCTACTTTAATTAAACACATCACAACATGTACTTGTACCCTTGAATTAAACACATCACATCATTTACATATTTGTCTGTATGAATGCACATACACCAAATATCTAACACAACCAATGATACACTCATCTGGACCATTATCCATATTGGACTATGGTGGAACAAACAAAGAAGAAGAAAACTCATAAACCGAAAGCTTATATGTAAAAGCTTTCCTAACAAGCTTACTTGTAATACAAGATAGCTAAGCAAAACCTTCCAAGCTCTGATTTGGAAGCCCAATGTCACTTGATTCAAACTTAACTTATCCATCAATAACAATGAATACCCATTAGGGTTAATTCAATGCAACAAATATGCTAAAGTTTGTTACTTTAGTCTTTTATCAATGTTTGTGAACTCACTTCAAATTGCTTTCCACAATTCATTTCGTGATATAATCTTGATCAACATTGCTTACTTGACAATCCATGCCATACCAAACAAGTCAATACACTATTTAAACATAAACCTTAATCTTACATAATATCATAAATATCTTAACCCTAAATTTCGTTAGGTTTTCCATCCTTTTAAAAATACTTGAATCTATTTACAAAAAAAAAAAAAAAATACTTGAATCTCACCACATAATTGTTTTCCAACAACTCAACGAAGTAAATCACATTCCAGACTCTTTTTTTCTCATAAAAGGCCGAATGCATACATACATAAAATATCAAGCTTTCATATTTTAAATTGACTATTTAATTAGTCTAATCAACTTTCAATGGATAGAAACACAATTAACCAACAAAACAGTCCATGGAAACATGAATTTTCGTGGAAGATGAGAGTGAGACATGAAAATTAAACTTATAAACACATAAAAGCTAACTAGCCATTTTTTTTTTTTTTTTACTTTCTTTGATTTCTAACTAATTAAATTAGCTAAAACTTGATGACCAACCTTATTTCCTCTCTTTATATGCGCTCCACATGGAGAATGTAGATAAAATAACTTATTACATTTATAATATTAAAAGGGTTTAATGTTTTTCGGTCACCGGAGACAAAATTATATCTAAAGAATCTAAAACGACGTCGTTTTGGAATGTAAAGAAAAAAATTATAATGATAAAAATTAATATAACTTCAAAACAAATTAGAATTAAAAAAATACATTTTTTTTTTAAAATGACATCGTTTATACTCACTAAAAATAACTTATCTCCGTGATTAGAGATATATTAAACCCTATTAAAAAATGGGTAAAATTTTTACAACCATTATAGATAAGGTTATCTACAGTTACTATTTATAATTACGTACTACATAGTTATAACATCAAAGTTATTTTTTCTCTCTTCAGTCACTTTTCAGAACTTGTTTGCTGACATGGAGAGCGAGAAAAAACAACTTTAATGTTATAACTATGTACTCTCAGAAGTACATAGTTATCTAAAGTAGTTGTAGAAATATTTTTTGCATTAAAAAAATGTATAAAAATATAGGAATAAGATATTCTATCTATTTTTTTATTGTCTACATTACATATTTATCTTCAATACCATTGGATTAAAATCTCATTATTTCTTTTTACTCTTGAGATTCTGATCCATGATATTAAAAATGAGTAAGTACTAGTACAAAAAAGAAATGAGTGAGTAAGACAGATAAGAAAAGAAGGTAGGCCTATCCCAAAAATATACAGGACAATCAAATAATATCAAACGATGGTAACTCAGTTGACACCAATAAATTAAGTAGATGAGAATAAAAACATGTGTTGGATCTTTTTAATATCATCTTTGGTCGGAGTGGGATCCACCGCAAATCAAATTAACCTCGAAACGATGAACAAATTGTAATATCTCGAAATAAAATACAATAAGTACAATAAAGTCGAGGCCTAATGCTATATTGCGTTGTGCCATTGACGCCTAAAATTACCGCCTGTTAGATTATGATATATGACTGCACCGTCACCGTGTGCGTGCATACCGGTCAAGGTTGGGGGAATTTTACGGGGAACAACAACAAATCGCTTATAGCGTTTTTTGATATATATTTGTCCTAGTTTTTTTTCTTTTCTTTTCGACCAAACTTTTCGAGACACAGAAATTTTCGGATTCTAATTGCAGTGGGGAAGGGGAAGCTGAAGCTGGAAGCTGAGTCTTCAAGTTCTCCAAATTAAACCCCGCATAGTGAGTTACAGAACACGGTTTCAGTCTCAGATCTAGAGACCGATCCATTTTCTCGATGTTTTCCGGGAAAATGGAACAGTTCATAGACAACATGCCGCAGATGGATCTGATGCGATCCGAGAAGATGACCTTCGTTCAGCTCATCATCCCTGCAGAGTCTGCTCACCGCGCCATCTCCTATTTGGGCGAACTCGGCCTCCTCCAATTCCGAGACGTAAGTTCTCTTCCAGATCCGAACTCGCTTCCTCCAGATTCCGAGCCATCTCCTATTTTCTTCGCGCCTTTTTGTGTGTGTCTCGAACGTTGAGTATGGAGTTTTCGCGTTTCCTGTTGTGCATGGATTTGTAACTTGTATGAATTTTTAAAAAGAATGTTAGTTGAATTGACTACGAGCCTCAAGAAGTGATGAAAATGCAGCACTGCAGGATTTAGTGCTGAATGCAAATTTGTAGGAATCCAGTGCTGGTGCTCGTATTTGTCGATGAGCTAGTTTGGTTGATTTGGATGTTGGATCCTTCATGCTTAACTGTTTATGCAAAATGATCCAACGTTTGAGTGTATTTTTATGAAAATTTTCTTAAAATGTTAAATCTAATTATGGTTCGAGACTTGAGAGGTGTGAAATTAATTGCATTATGGGTTTCTTATGTCTAATGTTGATTATGGAACACGTAATCGACAAAACTAGTACTTAGCTAAGTTTGATAATTATGTTCTCAAGCTATGGTGTTTTTCCATCATTGTTGAAGGTGGTTAATACCTTGTTTAGTTGATTCAGAGATGATGGGTGCAGTTTGGCTTCCAACTTACATCCAACTACTAGATCCCTTCTCTCTGTTGAAACTTGTTTAATTGGTTACCATCTGAAGTTAGATTGTATCCATAGATATTTGAATACTGTTGACAACGGTGAATTCTACTGGTAATTCAGGACATAATGGTTTCACTTATTGTTGACTGTTTTCATCAGTCAAGTGTTATTGTGTTGGAGGACTATTTTTGTTTAGAATTGTTACTTATTATTTTTCTGTCAATTAGCATCCTTTTTCGAATGTTATAAGAGTACACTCCTCCGTAGTTGCTTAAAAACTGGTGAAGATCCATCTACACAACAAGTGAGAATTGCTATACGTCTTGAGAGCTGTAGCTCGAGTCCAGGATCAAGGCTGTGCATTTTCTGAATAAGCTGGATTTTCAAAAAAAAAAAATTTATGTTAATTTTCTGATCCGGTCTATTATCTTATACACTTTCACTTGGAGAGACTAAAACGTGTGAATGTTATTTGATTTCTCAATGATGTCCCTTTGTTGTATCATATTCGATGCTGTCCAACTGTCCCTATACATGAAAGATATTTTGGTGGCAATTTTGCACGTGCGTTAGGAAATATTCAAAATTTGTTCAAACTATTTTCTTTCCCTCCATATGTAGGCTTGTGGAAGTACTTTTTGGCTTTCTAAAATTTATAGATTGGATTATGATGGTGTAATTTTTTCTATAATCTTTCATCATTGCACTATTTATGGACATTGTTTTCTTGTCTGCAGTTGAATGCTGAAAAAAGCCCCTTCCAGAGAACGTTTGTTAATCAGGTAATCTTCACTGTGCTAATGAGAAATCTTATAGCATTCTGGATGCCCTAAATATTGGCACTTTTTGGAAATGTTAGCTCATTTGTATAACTTGTGGTTATTAGTCTACAGTTGGGATTTGAAACTTCTCTATACAGCCGGTTCTTATAGCCCCATGTCCTTATATGATTGCATGTACAACTTTATTTGCTTGTTTAGATTTTTTTTAAAAAGCATAACCAGTAACATTGGTTGCTTTATGTGAATCAGATTATAGTTACCCTAATCCTCATAATTTTATTTTAAAACACTGAAGAAGGTTTAAATTTGGGAAAGAGTTCACTTTTTCCGTTTTTGGTATCTTTTATAGAATTTGTGCCTGCTGAGATTGTTGTCTTTTTTGGTTTTAACTTGGACTGGATATATTGTTATCTATATTCAGAGATCATGATTGAGATAATATTTTCTTTTTTTATTATTACTGATATTAAATGCATTTCTTTTTTGGCAGGTAAAGCGATGTGCGGAAATGTCAAGAAAGCTACGTTTCTTCAAGGATCAAATCAATAAAGCTGGTCTAATGTCTTCTTGTCGTACTGTACTGCAACCAGACATTGACTTGGAGGATTTAGAGGTCTATTTCTATTACTTATTTTTTCCCATCAGATGTGATTATTCTCTTAAGGTTAGCTTTCGAGTTACATGTTGGCATGCTGCAAGCAATGACATGATGCTGTAAATTAAGTTGGTGCTCTGCACTCGGCAGTTTGCTAACTTTGCTTGATGATTTTCACTCTTGAATCTGATAAATATATGTTCTGTTGGATTTCTCTTATACCAGGTTCAACTTGCTGAGCATGAACATGAGCTAATTGAAATGAACTCTAATAGCGACAAGCTTCAGCAATCATATAATGAACTCCTGGAATTCAAGATTGTACTGCAGGAGGTATTTTTTTTTCCTTGATATTTTATGGTGAGCATATTCTCAGGTTAATTTAAGGTGCTGAAGGAGTCTATATTGTCCCTGTTATTTTGGTTACATTAGTTTTTCCTGCTTAAGTTCAGTTAGCAAATAATGGTCTTTATGATCATAATTTAGCATTAGTTATTGATTTTTATATTCTTTTATCTGTTTTCTTGTTTTAATGTATTCTTTCAATTACCAATATGATATTTGTTCTTAACTCACAATTGCAATCCTGTTCTTTTAATTAATAAAATGTCTCCTCTATGTTTTCTGTCATGCACGTGTGATATAATTTTGTGTGTAAATTTCAGGCGTGTGGTTTTCTTGTTTCAAGTCATGGCCGTGCTGTTTCAGAAGAGAGAGAACTACAGGAAAATGTATACTCCAATGATGACTATGTCGAGACAGCATCTTTGCTTGAACAGGTTCCTTGTAATATCCCTTATCATCCTTGATATTTTTTTACTGTGAGAAGTGCAAATAATGTTACTAGTTTTTAAATTTATTTTGTTCTGTAAGTGCACTAAAATTGTTTATTTTACAGGAAATGAGATCTCAACCGTCAAATCCTTCTGGTTTAAGATTTATCTGTGGGATAATTTGTAAATCCAAGATTCTGAGGTTTGAAAGGATGTTGTTTCGTGCTACACGAGGAAATATGCTTTTCAATCAAGCACCAGCTGATGAACAAATCATGGATCCTATTTCAACTGAGATGGTTTTCTTCCTTCTTATTTCTTTTAAGAATATTGATAATTTAGCGCTTGTTTTCCCCTTTCAATCTTTATTTATCATTTTGACCTATCCAGTTCGCAGTTAGTTTATATTCCCATTGATGTATTCTATGTCTCTACATGATGACTCAGACTCCTTAAATTTTCTTTTCAGATAGAGAAAACAGTGTTTGTTGTGTTTTTCTCTGGGGAGCAGGCAAGAACGAAGATTCTGAAAATTTGTGAGGCATTTGGTGCAAATTGTTACCCTGTTCCTGAAGATATAACTAAGCAGAGGCAAATAACTAGAGAGGTATGTCTGCTCAGCTTAGGAAGATGTTATTTTTTGCCTCTTCAATAATGTATATTCTTTCATTATGACATATGGGCAAAGTGTGCTCTACATAAAATTGGGATTTTTGTGGCTACAGTTTCAGTGAGAGAGAATATTTTTGTAGTCTTTTAAGCGAAATAGGAATGCTAGCAAAACACTCTTTGATGCACTCTTTTCAACATACTCTCTATTATTGAGTGAATTTCATGTGGGTCCTACTAGATAGTGAGCCCAAGTTATTTAGTGGGAACCACATGAAATTCATCCAATAATAGAGTGTGTCAAAAAGAGTGTTGCTAGCATGTTTTTTAAGCTAAATACTAGGGAACTCTGCAAATCTTTGCTTGTGAACTAAGTCCTTTTTTATTAACATCATACTTTTACCGAAGTATTCTCAGATCTGGTTTTGCAACCCAAGAGGACTTGTTTTGCTCTTCAGTTTTTCAATTTTTTTTTTTTTGGGCGGGGCGGGGGGGGGGGGGGGTCGTCGTCTCCGCAATAACATTCGGGGTTATCAAGTGGTATGCATGGGGAAAAGTAGTCTTACATTCAATTGAAATCGACTATACCTTTTGCTTTATGTTCTTTATGTTGATTTATATTTCATCTTTGGTGACTATAAATATGGAAGTTGGAATCTCTGGTTAATGGTTGACAGGTTTATTTTTGGGTACAGGTTTCATCTCGTCTTACTGACCTAGAGGCAACTTTGGATGCTGGGATTAGGCACCGGAACAAGGCTTTAGCTTCTGTAGGGGACCATCTAGCAAAATGGATGAACATGGTAAGAGTTTGCTTCTGTTTGTCTCACTGTCTGAGATATTTTTGTTTTCTATGTTTTAACTGCAAAGCAGTCCTAATTCCTGATCAACGTGTGCAAATAATGGTTATCTATTTTGAAGTTTGAACCAATAACTCTCATCCTTATCCCCTTGTCCTAGGTAAGAAGAGAGAAGGCTGTCTATGATACACTGAACATGTTAAATTTTGATGTCACAAAAAAATGTCTTGTCGGAGAGGGCTGGTGCCCTATGTTTGCAAAAACACAGGTAATTTTTTATTTCCTTAATTTGTTGGATAATCACTGACTCCCTTGCCCGTTTAATTTGAGGAATTGAAAACCTCTTCAATATGTATTCTCTAATAAGGAGCTTGCATTTAATGATTTTCCAGCTGCAGGAGGCACTGCAACGTGCAACTTTTGATAGCAATTCTCAAGTTGGCATAATCTTCCATCAAATGGATGCGGTAGAATCACCACCTACATATTTTAGGACCAACACTTTCACCAGTCCATATCAGGAAATTGTTGATGCATATGGGTGAGCCTAATTAATATTTACTGAGTTTAGTAGCAGCAACATGAATACTTTAATGTCTTGAAGTAATTTTTTTGGAGTTTCTTTTATTGCATTATTTTTCTTGAAGTTAGAGAAAAAATGTGTGTCGATGTGCTATACCTCTGTCGATAGATTGATGAATGTCTGATCAGGGTATGTGGAATTGGAAAAAGTTAATTTAGGATGGCACCTTTATCTTGCAGACAGCGTAGCAAATTGTCTGATTATATGTACTACCTCTAAAGTACAGAGGTTTTTTTTTTTTTTTGGTAATAGATAAACTTTGACCAAAATTAAATTAAATTTGTAAGTGCTTGATAAAATATTTTACAAAGAAGTTTCCTACTTTTCTCTGGATGAAGTCAACAACTGGAATTGTCTTAAGGGGTATTTGAATAATTAGATAAATGAAGAAGGATAACAAAGCTTTATATATTAGGAATAACTTAACCACTACTTTAAAAATTTATCTGTACACTTGGATCCATGAGCCTTTGTGGAAAGAAAAAGTGGGAGAGTTTTTCACCCCTTTTTTGTTTCTAAACTTGTTTGTTGATCTGAATGTCTGTCCAAGAGGTTGTAAATCTTCCTTAGCAGTTAAATGACACGATTTTACTACAATATGTTTACTTTATATTGTTTGAGGTTTTTATTTCTGTATTGAATCTAGGGATGTACCGTGGTGGAAACAAACTATCTAGCTTACTAGCTATTACTTCCTACATTTATAATCCATGACATCTGATTAGATTCCTAATTAGCCCTTTTACTTGGCAGTGTTGCAAGATACCAAGAAGCAAATCCTGCAGTTTACACAACTATTATATTCCCCTTCCTATTTGCTTTGATGTTTGGGGACTGGGGTCATGGAATTTGCCTGTTGCTGGGAGCATTAGTTCTCATAGCACGTGAAAACAAGCTCAGCACGCAGGTAAACTCTTTCCTACTGTGTTATAAATGAAGTAATAACTAGTTATCCTACTCATAAACTAAATATCTATGATTATGAGTCTTTTATTTAATAGACAAATGTGTAGTTCGCATTTGAATTAAGTTCTTTTGCTTTAAGAAAACTTTATAATGAAACTATTTCAAAGATAATATTTTGTTATAAATGTTAACATACTTATAATCTCATAAAGTATAATTAAGAGACTCATTAAAATTTATTAATTATATGATTTAATTTTTTATTTATTGGTAACAATATTTAGATGCACTTTTAAACTCAAATATATAATTTAAACGAAAAGAGGTTATTGTATTTATTGTGACATGTTAATTGAATTCTTTTAGGACATGAAAAATGTTTATAATTACTCTTTATTTTTTTCGCCTTACAAAATGATGTTTTAACTCATTTTAATTATATTTTGATAATTTTTTCTTAAAGACATCTTATACTAACCCAAATCCCTATTTACTATCTTAACATATATAATATTTATAAAAACATTTATGCATCTTATGTTCTAATATTACTAGTATAAATAAATAAATAAAATTGGTTCAATAGTGAATCCACCACTGAAATGGGCATTGGGGAAGCTAACGGGTGTTTTTTTCGGTGTTTTGGGAAAAAGGGGGGGGGGGTATGAGAAAGGGATATAATGATGTTTGAAATGGCATACTCTTATTAGATGTCTCAGCTCTACCAACAAAGTTTTCTCAAGGGAACTTTTTCAAATATTCTTCTCATTAGAACTTGAAACATTAAGATTTTATATATATATATATATATATATATATATATATATATATATATATATATATATATATGTGTGTGTGTGAAAGAATAGCAATTTTTAGGGTATTTTACTAATGCTTATTTTTATAGTAAAGTATGTATTTTTTAATTTATTAAAAATGAGTGCACTTTGATTGCTATATAAAGATAAAAATTGAAATGTTAGAAAAGATTAAAAGTCAAGAAAGATATCAACATCAACAACACCTTTATCCCAAATTAATTGGGGTCGGTGGTAGATGAACCCAAATGAAAGATACAAAAAGGTTGAAAAAAAGAAAAAAAGAAAAGAAAAAGAAACATAAAAGTAAAAATAAATAAAAAATAAAATAAATAAATTAGTAATAATATATATATATATATATATATATATAAGTAAAAAAGAAAGGGAAAAGAAGAAGAGGGGGAAATGAAGGGGAAAAGGACTAAAAAGGGACCATCTGGAACATAGGAATAACAACGGGTCTAACCCTCCACCATGCTTATAGCTTTTCTCCATTCCTTTCTAAGGCATACCGTCCACCAATCTATATCTCACTCCATTAAATCTTGTTTTACTACCTTCCCCTAAGTAAGTTTCGGTCTACCTCTACCTTTTTTTTGTGTTGAGCTCTTGGTAACAAACTTCTGTTCTTACGGGAGCATCCAGGGGCCTTCTCATTACGTGCCTAAACCACCTCAATCTATGTTCTCTCATCTTCTCAGCCACCGGTAGTACTCCTACCTTTCGTCGAATATCTTCATTTCTTATCTTATCCATCCTCGTATAACCACACATCCACCTTAACATCCTCATCTGTGCTACTCCCATTTTATGCTCATGTTGCCTATGTGCTGGCCAACATTCAGCTCCATATAGCATTGCAGGTCTTACTGCTGTTCTATAGAATTTTCCTTTTAACTTAAGGGGGATTTTGCGGTCACACAAAAACCCAGATGCACTACGCCATTTCATCCACCCTGCTCTGATTCTATGTTTTACATCCTCATCAATCTCTCCACCTTTTTGCAAAATGGAGCCCAGGTATTTAAAAGCATCTTTCTTGGGTACCTCTTAACCACTTAGATGCACGGGATCTTGGTCTACATCTCTTACCAGAGAAAACTCACACTTCAGATACTCAATCTTGCTCCGACTTAATGTGAATCCTTTAGATTCCAAAGTGCTTCTCCACAATTCAAGTTTTCTATTAACACCATCTTTGCTCTCATCAATAAGCACAATATCGTCTGCAAAAAGCATACACCATGGCACTTCCTCTTGAATATCTTTTGTTAGTTCATCCATAACTAAGGCAAAGAGATAAGGACTTAGAGCTGACCCTTGGTGTACACCTACCGTGATAGGGAAATAACTTGATGTTCCGTTACAAGCTTTCACACATGTAGTAGCCCCATCATACATATCCTTGATTGCCTTTACATACTTTGCTGGTACCTTTTTCTTCTCCAGAACCCACCATAAAACTTTCCTTGGAACTCTATCGTATGCTTTCTCCAGATCTATGAACACCATATGTCCTTCTTCTTTTCTCGATATCTTTCCATTAGTTGTCGCATCAAGAAAATGGCTTCCACGGTACATCTTCCTGGCATAAATCCAAATTGATTTACAGAAACCTTGGTATCTCTCCTCAAGCGATGCTCAATAACCCTCTCCCACAACTTCATAGTATGGCTCATTAGCTTAATGCCTCTATAGTTAGAACAATTCTGTATATCTCCCTTGTTTTTGTAGATAGGCACAATTATACTTTTCCTCCATGCATCCGGCATCTTATTTGTCTGGAGAATCTTATTGAAAAGATTGGTCAACCATTTTATTGCCACATCCCCCAGGCCTCTCCACACTTCAATAGGGATGCCATCAGGTCCCAAGGCTTTATTAGTTTTCATCCTCTTTAAAGCCTCCTTAACTTCATGTGTATTAATTCTGCGCACAAATCTTCTATTCAAATCATCATAAGCGTCCTCCAAGTCCACCTCACTTATATCGCCATCCCCATTAAACAGCTTGTTGAAGTAGTTCATCCATCTTTCATTTACATCTCCATCTCTCACCAAAAGTTTTTTATTTTCATCCTTGATGCATCTAACTTGGGTGAGGTCTATACTTTTCTTATCCCTTATTTTTGCAAGTTTATATATACCTTTTTCACCATCCTTGCTCCCAAGATTTTTATACAAATCAGCGAAAACCTTGCCTCTAGCTTCTCGCACTGCTTTCTTTGCATTTTTTCTCGCCAATCTAAACTTTTGCAAGTATGGCTTCCATGGTAATAGTAGTGGAAGAACTTTTATATTATAAACAATATTTTATAATGGGCGTGTGACTTATATTATGGTTCAACTTGGATGAATAAAAAATTTATTTGAGATATGTCAAATTTGAACATTCTTTCTTTTCCTTTTAACTTTAAGTACGGTGATACTGGTTGATGTTCAAAGAATGATGTATCAACTAAGCTTTTTATTTTTAGCTGCTGAGCATTCAGTGTACATAATTTAGCTACGAGGCATTTTTTGTAACTAGTATGTATTTTTGTCCCTAAATATATTGAAAGATGAAATGTTCTATTGAAATATATTTATTGTAGTACATACAAGTACAAGCTGAAACTCAATATAGCCTTTACTTTTGTTTTGCTCTTGGCATTGCAATTAATATCTAACAGTTCTATTTTATTTCTGCCAGAAACTTGGAAGCTTTATGGAGATGCTATTTGGCGGGCGCTATGTGATTCTTTTGATGTCACTATTTTCAATATATTGTGGGTTAATCTACAATGAATTCTTTTCTGTTCCTTTTCACATATTTGGTTCGTCAGCTTACAAATGCCGAGATAGCTCATGCAGGTGTGTTCTATTTGTCTCTTAGAGCCTCTCATTTTGGTCCAGTTGAATGTTTTTGGCTTTATGATATAAAGATATATGATGATGCCTTGTTGATGTTGTATGTTTCCCTTTCCCCTTTTAATTATTTGAGTTGCGCCTTGTTCATTAAACATTTTTCAATTATTGCTCATAATTTTTCTTATTTATTTTGGGGCTAAAAACAGTTAGAACTTTTTTCTTACTTAAATTACTTCTCTTTTGCATCCTACTTGGTGTGAACATGACCCAAGTATCTCCACTTGTAGCTGTGCACTTTGAGCGGCAGTGGGGTAACAAATTTATTATTTGCTAAAATATGCCATCTAGGCTGTAATCATGTGGTTCGAGCAGGTGGGTTTTGGGTGGAGGACATAGGTTGAAGTTGTAGTAAGACTCCTTGATGCACCAAAAAAAACTATTTGCTAAAATACTAATGTTAATTCAAATAATTGTGCTGCTCTTAAGCTATGGATCACCACAACGAGAAGGATTTTTTAGTTTGAAACCACCAAATGTATTTATTTGGTGATGGTTCTCGGGTGGGTTCTTTACTTTTATGCATTATGATGGTTTTTATTAAAGACTTGCGCTTGAGTGTATGTATGTCTGTCTCTGTGAATTCCTCACATGTATCCATTACTACATTGAATTATCCTTTGTTCCTCACCTAGGACTAATGATTCACATTTCACTCAATTATTATTGGCTGAAAATGTACACACCTTGGAACTTATTTTGGAAGTTTTTACTTTTTTAGTAAGCAGCAAGTTTTTAACTCGGGTGCTGTTTCATTTTTCATCATCCTCACCTTTTTATCAGGGATGCACATACTATTGGCTTAGTCAAATACCAAGATCCATACCCATTTGGTGTGGATCCCAGCTGGCGTGGAAGTCGTTCAGAATTGCCTTTTCTGAACTCTATGAAGATGAAGATGTCCATTCTTTTTGGTGTGGCACATATGAACTTAGGAATTATATTAAGTTATTTCAATGCTCGTTTCTTTGGAAACTCACTGGATATAAGGTGTTTCACTCTTCTGCCTGACCCGTGCAGTTATTATTGTGCTATGCTTTTAGTAGAATGTTTTGACTTACTATTTATGTTGCTCTCAGGTACCAGTTTGTGCCACAGATTATTTTCCTCAACAGTCTATTCGGGTATCTTTCCCTTCTCATTGTTGTTAAATGGTGTACTGGCTCTCGAGCAGACCTTTATCATGTAATGATATACATGTTTTTAAGCCCCACGGACAATCTTGGTGAGAATCAGTTGTTCTGGGGTCAAAGACCACTTCAAGTATGAATCTGGATCTTTTCTTCATTGTTGCTTAATAAATATTTGTTCTGCTTCCTGGTTTTTCATCCTACTTAAGTACTGCTCGGGTTGTGCAGATTGTGCTATTGCTTTTGGCTATAGTTGCAGTTCCGTGGATGCTCTTTCCGAAACCTTTTATACTAAAGAAGCTTCATACTGAGGTGCCATTTTAACCTGCCTTGTGTATGATTTTCTTGCTAGAAATTTTATTCATCCAAACCTCTATTACATTTATATATGGATAATATGCTTGTGGTTTGAGTTTCCCCCTTTTGTCCCTGAATTTCTGGTTAAGGTTGTTGAACATCAATTGTCCTTGAGAATTATAAGATCAATTTTCTTTGGAATGAATATGCTTTAGTGCTAAACTACTTATAACTCAGCTATAAGGACAGCTTTTCTGGTTATCATTGTCTTCGTTCTATACTTTTTGTTGCAATCAGTAATTAAATGCCAACAAGTTTGCCAATATTATTAATCATTTATCCTGCTGACATTATGCAGAGATTCCAAGGTCGTAGTTATGGTATACTAAATTCCTCTGAGATGGATCTTGAGGTGGAGCCAGATTCTGCCAGGCAACATCATCATGAAGAATTCAATTTCAGTGAGGTTTTTGTTCATCAAATGATCCACTCCATTGAGTTTGTTCTAGGTTCAGTTTCAAATACTGCATCATATCTTCGACTTTGGGCATTAAGGTTTGTGCAGCCATGATTTTCCCTCATCACCATGAATTCCTATTTTATATATTCTTGTTTCTTGGTTGATTTTTCTTACCACTTTGCAGTTTGGCACACTCGGAACTTTCTACTGTTTTCTATGAGAAAGTTCTGCTTCTTGCTTGGGGGTGAGTTTGACTAATAACCTGTCTTCTATGTGCTTTTAAACTCTTTATTGAGATGTTTCTGTATTCTTTACCATTATTTGAATATTTAAAAAAATGTGCTTCCTTAGTTGAAGAAACAAAAATTCATAATTGAACTTGGGTGGAATGAGATTCCCTTCACCTTCAAGATTTATGTGGAGATATTCATTTGTGACCCACAAAATCACACCTTGCTAAAGGATGGTTTTCATAGTCTATAATAAAGAGTGCACTTAAAATTTAATTATGTGAATATAGTGAGGAAGGTCAAGACTTGCATTGGATACTTTAACATGTCAGTTTATTGATCAAATTGCCTCACTTCTTTGTTATTTTAAACTATTGTTTTGATATGCTTGGTTTTGTATGACAAAAACATATCTCTATGAGATTCAAAGAAATAAAAGTAAACCTCCAATTTAGTACTCGATATGATCCTACATCAATGTGGTCCCTGAATGATAAATCTTGAGATAAAAATTGTCCAAAATGTAATGTTCACTAAAACCAAATTGACATCATGAAATAACCAAAAATCATCATTTAAGGACCAATTTTGATGTCACTAATCTTTCTGAGTGCCCAATTGATGTTCCAAAACTCTTTCGAGGACTAGGTTGGGAGTTTACTCAATAATTAATTTGCCTATGAAATGAACGTGGTATGATTTATTGCACTCCTTTACTTGTCTTAGATTATTCCAAGTTTATGAGATAATGGTATGGAATGGTTACCAATGTTGGTGATATTAAGAAACAGTGTTTTTATTTCCTTCTAAAATGTAGGGATAAGTCAGTAAAAGATATTTTTATGGCATAGAATAGTTTTTGAACAGATAATGTGTTTATGGTTATTTTATTGGTGTAATCATCATGAAAATTCTAGCTGATAAAATTATTTTGAACAATATTGGTGCAGTCTTTAGTGTATAATGCATGAGCCACCAGCTAGTTTAGATGAGGTGGCTTTTGATTGGCACCTTATTAGGAGTATTACTATTCTCCCCGTGTTATGATTTTTCTTTTGTTTTTAAGATTTTTGGTTTGGGTAGGAGGGTAGAGGGGGCTGCACTGCACATGTTATGAATATTTATATTTGCATCACTGTAGAAATTTTAGTTAAATTAATTCAGAGCTGCATGGAAAAGCCCTAGTCTTCGAATTATAACTTTCGCATTCCACAGTTATCCATCTTTCATGTCTGAATTCCTTTGTTGTGCACACACACATACACATAATATATATATATATATATATATATATATATATATATATATATATAGTTTTATTGTGTATTATGTCGCTGGATCGTCCTGTTACCCAAAACTACATCGTTTTGGATATTTATTTCCCATATTTAATTGATCGGAAATGGATATTATATTTCTCTCTTTTCCTTTATCATCATTGATCCACCTTTGTATGGTTATAATTCTCCTAACTGGACAAATCCTTATATCCAGTGACTGTACAAATCCTTATATCCAGTGACTGGACACCAGACGGATCCTATATATATATATATTATCCTTCAATTATTAATGTTATTCCTGGTTGCAATTAAAACAGGTATGACAATCTTGTCATTCGGTTAGTGGGGCTAGCTGTTTTTGCCTTTGCGACTGCCTTTATACTACTTATGATGGAGAGTCTTAGTGCTTTTCTTCATGCCCTGCGGCTTCACTGGGTAGAATTTCAAAATAAATTTTACCATGGTGATGGCTACAAGTTCAGGCCTTTTTCATTTGCCTCCTTAACAGAGGATGATGATTGATCCATTCATATTTGTCTTGGTTTCTGGGAAAATACATGCAAAGGATATTTACACATGTGAAAGGAGCACATGATGAGAATTTGTAGGAACCAAATTTGGCAATTTTGGTTGTTAGGTTTACTTGATGATATGCTGCTTGATATTAACCCAGCATTAAAAAACTTTCTTGCTCATTTTCCTGTGGCTTCGCTAGAGTTACAGATCACTGCCACTCTTCATGGAAGACATCTGTAAAAGAATATATTTATTTATTTTAGAATAGGAAACGGGAAGAGATAAGGGATGGGACTGCTTAGACTAAATTTTTGTAAAGAGGACATGGGATCCATCATAGAGTGTAGTTATTGGATTTTGGTTCTTTGGGGTTACATACATATATACGATGTACCGCAGGTTTTGCTGGGAAATAACCATTGATTCTGAAATTTTCTTGTATTGACAAATGACAAATTATAGAGTACCATTTTTTCTATACGGATTTATCAGAGTAAGATACAGAAATCTGAAGTTGAATAATGCCATCTGTATTGAACTTGTGTAATGATAAGTTGGCACCTTACCTTTTGAAACGTTAATTCCAGCTCCGCCTGTGAAATGAAATCAAACTGGATATAGCCTACTTATCAAGTGGTGAAAGTTTTATTTATTTATTTTGTTTGGTTAAAGAGTATATTTTCAACTTTTATATGACATTTGCATATATGGTTCGTTTTTTTTTTTTCGCTTTACCCAGAAGTAAAGAATGGTAATTGCAGCACCTAAAAATTACCATTAAAGGAACCGTATCACGTAAGTAACACAGACGAGATTCACACCCACAAAGATTGGGAGAAAAGTTCAGATTTTTTGTCTTTTTGAGGTTAACTCCAATTTGTCGAGCTTTTTTCATGCTTGAACTACAAATACTAAAGCATAAAAAATACGCTTTTTGAACAGCTAACCCCATAGATGAATGACAACTGAAGTCTGAATGTCTGATGCAATATGTAAGTGAAATAGATGCTCTTCCGGCGGTTTTAGAGCTTATCATCATTAATTCCGCGCATCTGTTACATAGATTCAATTCTGTTGGTGGAGGCCAAACCAAGATGTTTCCGGCGGTTTTAGAGCTTATATATGTTGATATCTTTTACTTTTGACACATAAATCTCAACTTGCAATTGTATCATATGTTTAGGAATCTAATTTACATAATAATCATTCACCTATATAACTGGGAAATTGTTTTCTAATGCTATAGGAGACCTACTCTCCTTACATCGAAAACTGAGCCTCATTTTTTTTTCTTCAAAAAAAACTAATGGCCCACTATATTTTATCTCAGCATAAGATAAAATTTGTCACATGTTGCATAAGAAAACTAATGCCCTATAACTTGTTGGATATATGCTCTTTTGGTCACTAAAGTCCTATTGGGCTTCAGTGAAACTTGAGCCCATGAGGCTTAGGGTTGAGTTATGTCTAAGACCTAAGCGTATATATTCATAGTTTTCTCATCTTGTGCCTCCAAGGTGAATAGATCATCAGAAACAAACCCCAAGAGGCAGACGTTCATCATCTGAACGGTTGCCCACACAACCATCTCATCCTCCTCGAGAGATAGTCTGGAAGATCTGCCACAGTCCAGCTTCAAGGAGGTTGTTTGTGCTGCGACACTGAGGTGAGCTGTTCGTGAAGAGGAATCCTACAAGGGAAGATTCTACACGACACCTGCGCACCGAGAGGTAATTGTGAAACAAGGATGATTCGGTAAGCATACCAATGTACTAGGTCCTAAACCGCTTCCGCATAAATCTAAGATTTCCTACAATTGGTATCAGAGCCTTGGCTGTACATTGGTATGTGAATCTAGTTTCACTATTCATGTAATTAGTTTTGCTTCTTGAAATGTGGCACCTAGAGTTCTAGGATTATGGTATGAATCTAGCATGTGTATTTTATAATTCATTTTCATAAAAGTTTAAATTTTAATCGGTAAAAATGCTTTAATCCATGGTTAGGGTCTCTCGTGTATTTCTCGATTTGTAACAAGGAGGCTAATCCCATATGATTAGGTTTCCTCTTGTTGGTTTTGTTTATTTTTGGAATTTCTGTGTATTTTTTCAATATTTTGTAAAAGTTCAAGATCGAGAAATCGCGAGGAAGATGCGCAGTCAGCACTGTCGGAGACTTTTAGAGGACTTACCGATCTCGGAATGGGGCGATCTATATATGGTTGGAAAGAGGACGGAAATACGAACGCAACGGTGGGTGGCTCACCGCCATTTGAGTTTACACGCGCCTCTACAAGATTCTGAGAGTGGCCGCCACTCTCCGGCAAAGAATGGGAGAGTGAGAGAGCGTCCGGCCACCTTTTTGGGTGGTTCCGGCGGCGGTGCACTCGTCTCTACGTGGTGGTCCTTCCCCTGGAGTTTCAGCCTGATTCGACTTTGGGTGACGGCGCGGCAGACCTGACGGCTAGGGTTCCTCTTTCGCGTCCTAGGGTTTCTCGCCAAAGGATTGGGTCTTTGGGCTTTTGGGCCCATGAAACCCTAAAGGGGCTTGAGACAGATACTATGGGCTAGGCGAAAGTTGAATTCCAAAGTTGTATTATTTAATTTTATTTTATTTTATTTTCTTTAAAATAGGAAGGCCATGGATTAAAGTAATTATGATTTATTATTTAATGCTTTTATTGATTGGTATAAATTATATGATAGATAACATGCTTTATTGCGATAACATGCCATATAGAATAGGTGGTGCCATATTGTTGCATAACTTGTATGATTGCATGAGCATAATAGCTATTATGTCTTCAGCGACTAGTATGATAGTTATTATAGGATTATTTTGATTTTAAATCATCCTAAGAAATTAATTAATTATTATTATGATTTTTATTAAAAAATCTAGATTAATAATTGAATTAATTAATTTTGGATTATTAACATCAAGACAAATAATCGTTATGGAAATTATTTTGATTTCAAATTATCCTCATAAATGATAATTATTATGATTGTTGCAATCTAGATTAATAATTAAGTCAGCTATTTGGATGATTTAAATCTAGAAAAATAATTAGAGAAAATTTCCTAAGAGAATTCTTTTATTTTGCGAGTAATTTGTGGGTTTTTCTGAAATGGTCATGGAATAACACACGCTGCATACAACATTCATGTATCATGATTGTTTGGAGCACACGCTGACGTAAAGTGACCGGATTTCAGGACCTTAATACTTTCAAAATTATGTTAAGCTTAGTGCACGTTTATCGGCGCTCTTACTTATATAGTTTTTGAAATCAAACAAAGGATACTGTCAATTAAATAATTCTTGGAAATTAGAAAATGTTGCTTATGTTGAATGGAAGGAGATTTAAATTAAGAGATTAATTTAACCTTCAAGCGCATTATAGGACCATTAATAAAATAATCATGTGAAGTCCCATCGAATAAGCATGATTGGATTTTATTAGATTGGACTTAAATATCTATGGGAGGAGATTTAAATTAAGAAATTAATTTAACCTCCAGGCGCATTGTGGGCCTATCAATAAAATAATCATGTGAGGCCCCAACGGATAAGCATGATTGGATTTTATTGGGCCTTAATAATTTCAAAATTTTAATAAAGTATTGTACGTCCCATCGTCGATAATACTAAGTTATTAAAGATAATTTTGAAATTAAACAATGAATTCGACTGGGCTTATGAAAATTCTCAAAAAAAATGTTGAATGGGTGAAGGTTTTAAAAATTAATTAATTTTAAAACCTGCGGGCTCCATTTGTGGGTTTATTAGTGAAATGGTTATCGCTGAAGCCCCATCGGATAAGGATAATCAGATTTCACTAGATTAAATCTTAATAATTTCAAAATTTTAGTAAAGTATTGTACGGCCCATCGTCGGCAATGCTTAGACACTAAGGATAATTTTGAAATTAAACAATGGTTAATTACATTCAACTTTGGTAAAATTGTTAACCCTCCCATCGAGGCTCTGGCAATGGCACTGAAGGCCCAAATAACAATTTTGGTTTTTACAAGTGACTTGCCCATCGTAAGCCTTGTAAAGATAAACTGAAGGATTGTTAACAATAAACAAGAGTAGTTATGAGAATCTACTCGCACTTCGTTTGTTTATTGCATTATTTGTTTGTAATTGTGTGCTTTATATGTTTTTCAGAAAATATCTTAGAAATGATTTTGAGTCGAAAACCTCTAGATGGTACCAACTATGAATAAGTGAAAAGCAAATTTTTTGATATTGTTTTAAAACATGGAAGCTAAAATTTGTTCTGACAATGCGAGGGCCATAGCAACCTGCAGAGGATGCGTCTAAGGAAACTAAGATGCATTTCTCAGATTGGGAAAGGGCAGATATGGTAGTTCGTTGCTATATTATTGTCAGTCTTTCCAAATACTTGTAGAAGCAAGTGTACATGATTAAGAGTGGAGTAAAAATGCTTCAGACTCTTAATGACATGTTTGCTGCGTCTAGCGGCTCTGCCAGACAGAATGCAGTCGGTGCAGGTTTTGCTAAGAGTCTTGTTAAATCCAAAGGGAGACCCAAGGGTGGTAACAAGAACAAAATGACTTGGTTATCAGTTGTCAAACCAGTTGCTATGAAGAAGCCGCAAGGCAAGTTCTTCAAGTGCAGACTGAAGGGATACTGAAAGAAAAATTGTCCAGAGGTGATGAAAAGAACCTGACATGGGCATATCAAGGCCTGATCAGTGAATGAATTATTGATTCAGGAATCACTGATTATGTTTGTTACTCTTTGTAGTAGTTCAAACATGGCATACCTGTCAGCAATGGACAGATATTTTAAGCTTGAAAATGGGAACTTGTGTCTGCATTTGCAGTAAGACAAGTTATTTATAAGACTATGGTTTTGGGTGATTGTTTATTTGTTCTAGATTTCAAGAGGAATTCAATTTTTGTTAGTTGTTTTGGTTAAAACATGGGTTGACAATGCAATTGATTCCTCAGTTACATTTCGAAGTTCATCTTCGTCTTGTTTGTTCTGGTACATTGTTTAAATAGTCTTTATTACCTATGTCCTATACCCTTTTTAAATTTGTTATGTTGAATGGAAAGGATGATGAACAAGAACTTTCACCAAAGAAATAAAAGTTTCAAATGAAACATCACTTTGGCCTTTGTGATTGAGTCATATTATCTCAAGTAGGAAACATATTTTAGTTAAAAGAGGGACTGAAAGTTCAATAATCTTTTAACTAACAGCTACATGTTAGTCCTATTTGGAAGGTAAAGTGGCCAAGCAATCCTACAAGGGCCAAAAAGGTTTGCGCAACTATTCAACTGGAACTGGTACATACTAATGTATGTGGACCAATTAGTGTTCAGACCAGAAGAGGTGATGAGTACTTCATTATATGAATGTTTACTCTGGATTTGGACAGATGAACCAAGTGTGCCATAAGTCTAAAGCTTTTGGAAATTCCAAGAGGT